GAACCGGTCGGCGCTAACGCCCTCGCACAGCTGCCGCACGATCAGGGCGCCGCGGCTGCCCAGCACCCGTCGGTCCTCCTTCATGAGCGCGAAGAGCCTGTGGCACATGCGCGCGAACAGGCTCGCAGCTGGCCCTTCCCCGGCCGCTTCGCGAGCAGAAGCCGCAGCTTCGGCAGCAGCACCACCACCACCGCCAGCAAAGTCGCCGTCGCCGCTAGGCCTACGCTGCTGCTCTGACCCACCCTCGCCAGGGCATCCGTCGGGCGCGGCGCCCAGGTGGTGCTGCTCGGGGCTGAGGCGCGCCTCCGGCTGCGTGGCGCACGCCACGTCGTCGTCGGAGGCGACGCTGGGGAGGGGCGTCATGTGCAGCTGCCCCTCCGAGGCCTGCGGCTGCGCGCTTGGGGCGACCAGCGACGCGATGAGCTGCAGCGCGACGGCCGCAACGCGCTCTCCCGCTGCGCCCTCCGCGGCCTCCTTGGCGGCCCTGCGCTCCGCGTCCTCCTTAGCCTCCTCCTCCTCCTCTGGGCTACACGCAGTGAGTGACCCTCGGCAAGAGTGACCTTCAGTGCGCGGATTCAGGGGGGCATTAGGTGGCCAGATCCAAGCGCGCAAGCAGCCGCTGTCGCGTCGCGCTCCGCGATCGGGGGGGTACCCGTGAGCCCGCCCCAGAGGTCACCCCAGCAGAGGGTCACTCTTGCGGGTAGTCGGGTCCTCCTCCTCCGGACAGCCCAGGACCGCCAGCGCCGCCTCCAGCAGCCGGTCCCGCACCGCCGGCTGCAGCACGCGGCCCGGTGCCTGCCGCAGCAGCAGCTGCGCCCAGCTGAAGCACTTCAGCAGCACGGCGGGGCTCCGCTCCTGGCCCCCCTCGCCCCGGCGCATGGCGCCCAGCACCGCGTCGGCCACCGCCTCGACCGGCAGCCGCCGCTCCAGGCAGGAGGCGGCCGCCCGCAGGGCCGTGTTCGCCTGCTCCGCCTCGTCCCGGATCTCGTCCTCGGCGTCGTCGAGGCAGTGCAGCGCCCCGGACAGCAGCACGGGCAGCAGCGCGCTAAGGCCCCCGCCAGCGTCGTCGCCCCCGGGGGGCAGCGCCGGGCTCGTCGCCCCGCCGGGCGGGGGCTCCGCGAGCAGGCCAGCGCTGAAGGCACGGGCGTGGCCGAAGTGGAACACCCCCGCCGGGCGCGCGCCGTGGGGCTCACGGGCGTGCAAAGGCCGCTGGGCGTCCTCAGCGGCTGGGGCCGGGTCCGCGGGGGCGCCGGGCTCCTGCTCCAGGGAGGTCTGCATCCTGACGAGCTCGAGCAGCCTCAGAGGAGGAAAGGGTACCCATACCGCTACCCTTGCCTCGTTGTCCCCTTTCTCGGCCTCCTCGGAGGCCCTCGTCGCCACCGCTGGAGTCGCCGCGAAATACTGGTCAGAACGCACCACCCTGGGAGAGGTCTGGGGAGTAGCGGTATCAGTACCTGTTGGTTTCCCCAGAGCCAGTGCAGAGCGCGCAGGCGCATGTAGTTGTCCTCCTGGCGCCTCTCGCCGCCGCCGCGGCAGCACTTGGCGATGGTCGGGGCTGCCTGCGCGATCGCGCGCTGCGCGCCCCTGTGCCGTATCGCCCGCGCGCGCGGCTCCGAGGTGTCGTCTGAGGTCCTGCTCTTGATCTCGGCCAGCAGCTCCGTCAGGCAGCCCTCCGCCGTGTTGCGGATCTCGCGGTTATCGCTCGTGAGGATGCCGAAGAGCCCCTCCAAGTACTGTGGCAGGTACTCGATCATGTCCACCTGTGGCACGGAATCGAGGAGCAGCATCCAGCCGAGGACCAGCTGTCTCACCGACGGGTTCAGAACACGGATGCGAGTGGTGAGCAGGGGGATGAACTCTGGGTAGTTGAAGTCCCTGCACTCCGTGACGATGTCGCGGACCAGGCGGTCGAGGCACTGGGCGCCGTCCTTGACATTCGCGTCCACGTCGCAGTACAGCCTGCAGAGCCCGTCGAAGGTGTCCCTGAGGTACCCCAAGGCGCTCGCCTCGGCGCCCTCCCGCACGAGGATGGCCCCTCGCACCACCTCTGGGGAAGTGGCAAGGCACCGACACCGCCACTCCCTGGACCTCTCCCATAGCAGGAAGACATTCGAGTAGGGATCAACTACATCACAGATGTCCCCCATCTTTAAGTTCCCCGTCGAAATCCATGAAATATGTTGAATAACCTGCACATCTAAGAACATTGTACGCGTTTGTTGGTGTGCAGAGTCGACGTGGAAATCAAGCGTGGGGTAAATTGATATTGTAATCGATCCCCTACTCGAGACATGCTGGTAATGTGTACTGATGTTGGAGGCACACGTCCAACACGAACGTATAATACAGAAATCTTGTAACACATCGTTTCCCGAGCGATATGGTTAAGTCGGGCGTGTCCCCCTACAGGGGAATTTTCGACGAATGATAAAAAATATTCCAAAAATGCGCAAAAAATATCAACAAATACTAAACAAATAGTCCCCAGACTATTTTTTAACTTTTTTGAATTTTCCTCCTGTAGAGGGACAAGCGCGACTTAACGATATGGCCAGAAAGCGTCCGCCACGTATACTACAGGATTTCCGAGCGCGCCCTCCGCCCTCGCGTGGCCGACGCACAGATCGTTATAAATGTGCCGGGGTGGCGCCGCAGAAGCGCACCGACACCGCCACTCCCCAGATAAAGCACCGAACTTTCTACACCGATGCTTTTTTCCGGTCCCGCACTGGGGCTCGCACAAGAAAACGGATTCTGGTGTATACGGCATCCTGGTGTATATATTTTGGGGGGGGGCCACGGGAAAACGGGGAAACAAGCATACACTACACCACCCCGGCGTCGTCCCCGACCCTCACAACTTCCTGTGATTGAACAACAGCCCGCCACTGGTAATGTATATGCTCCAGTTTCCGACCAGACCTCTCCCAGGGCGCGATCTGACCAGAATCTCGAGGAGAATCCAGCCGTGGCGACGAAGGCTCTCCAGGACGAGCGGCGGTATCGGTATCCCTTCCTCCCCCCTGAGATTCTGTGTCACATTTCTTTCAATACGGGGTCCCCGGAAGTCCCGACGCTTTCCCCAGGGCCAGCGTTTCATCCCAAGCCGTTCTTCAACAGTCCCAGGGCCCCGCAAGGGCTCCCAGAAGCCGAGAGCAGAGAAACACCGCCGTCCTGCACTGTTCAAAACGTTGCACATGCCTGGGGCATCTCTCCCCCCTCTCGGGGGCAGCCAAGAGGGGGGGGCGTCCAAGAGGGGAGGGGTGCAACTCATGGCCGGCGGCATGTGCGCGGCCCCAGGGGGGGACCGGGGACGTAATGAAACAAGAAGAGGCGCCATGAGATCTGGCGAAACATCTTGGCCCACGCCATGATATCCACCCCCCCCCCAGTCATCAACCCCCTCTTTGCCGCCCCCGACCCTCTGGACCTTGGCGATGTTGTAGAACGACTCGCAGGCGCCGTAGCGCACGCCGGGATCCTCGTCGGAGAAGCGCGTGAGCACCACGGGCACGAGCGTCTCCGTCCAGGCCCGCGCGTGCCGAGGCCCCAGGGCGACGGCGGCCGCCGCGAGGCAGCGGAGGCCCGTCTTGCGCTTCTCCGGGAAGGGCGAGGCGCAGAACTCGTCCCTGGGTTGGGCGGCGGGCCCCCCGAGGTGGCCGGGCGCTGTGCACCCTTTTCTGGGACGCGCAGAGGCATGCTAGTACGGGGCAGTTTTTAATACAGGGGATGCTCAGGAATATGGGATCTTTAGTACATGATTAATTCATGAACAAATCTATGCATGAACTCATCGTTGGTTTCAATACTAAATCCCTTTATTTGTATTACATGATCCGCACGCGGAGCATGTATTAAAAACGGCACTGTACTGTGTGCCCTCCTCGGAGGCGTGCGCCCGACCCGAACAGACAGCACAGCCGCCTTGTGCCTCGTAGCACGTCGACTCCCGAGCGGGGCGGCCAGGAAGCGCCCACCACGACGCATGAACTCGTCGTTGTTTTTAATGCTAAATCCCTGATTTTGTTATACATGTTCCGCACGGGGAGCATGTATTAAAAACGGCACTGTAGTACGTGTCCTCCTTGGAGGCGTGCGACCGACCCGAACAGACAGTACAACCGTCTTGTGCCTCGTAGCATGTCGACTCCCGAGCGGGACGGCCAGGAAGCGCCCACCACGACGCATATATACTGCAAGACTTCTCGGTGCGCGCGTCGCCTCTGGAGGGGCGACGCACACACAATATTGGTGTGCTGGGGTGCCGACGAAGCTCGGTGGCACCCCCCCGAGATACACCCTTTGCACCCGGCTACGCGCAGGAGTGACCCTGGGCAAGAGTGACCTTTCATGCACGGACTACGGGGGCGCAAGGTGGCCAGATCCAAGCGCGCAAGCAGCCGCTATCGCATCGCGCTTCGCGATCGGTGGGACCTGGGTGAGCCCGCACCAATGGGTCACTCCGGCGAAGGGTCACTCTGAAGCGTAGTCTATTCACGACGGGCGCCTTCGCCCGGTTTCGGGCCCCGGGACCCTCCCAGACAGATCCGGCGTGCAGAGTGCCGCAGAAGGATTGGGTCTATGGGGCTCCAGTCGTGTGACTTGCACGATGCTGCAATATTTCCGTCGCGACCAAATCTCAGGGACCCCGTGGAGGCCTCCGTAAGAATGACCATTTAAGGGCTACTGGGTCCGATCAAGGCCTCACTAAGCCAGAGTAGGGCTGAATCCGCCAGCCCCCTTGCGGGGCCACCAGGCTGCGAGGATGAGGATTGCAGCTCCCTGTTCCAGTTGCAGTTTCCAGTTTCCACTGTTACAATTCTGCTTTGTGCTTCCTACTGCTAATTGTTGCTGCACGCGCGAGTGGAACCAGTTTTTGTTTTACCACGCCCAGGTCGCGTTGTTTGAATTCCTGGGGGAGGCGTGAGACATATAAAAATACATGATGTTCACGTCGCCGAAGCCATAACCCCTTGTAAATTACGCCATATTCGCGTCCCCGAAGCCATAATCCATTGTAAATTATGCAATATTCGCGTCCCCGAAGCCATAATCCATCGTAGATTATACAATAGCCGCGTCCCCGAAATCATCAACCTTCTAAAATTATCCCATATTCGCGCCCCTGAGACCATAAACTCAAGTAAATTACGGAACGTGCGCGCCCCCGAAACCATAAACCTTCGAAAAGTATACCATATTCGCGATCACAGGGCCATACACCATCGTCAATTACACCATACTTGCGTCTTCGAGGCCACAAACTCTTGCAAATTACCAGATTCGCGTCCCCGAGGCCATAAAGTCTCGTAAAATACACAATATTTGCGCGCCACCGAAGCCAGAAACCCTCGTAAATTAATATTGGCCCTCGCGTGAAGTCACGACACTGCTTCACGTCAGCGCCCAGACGTTCCAACACAGCTCTGGCAAGTCCCATTCTAAGAGAGGGGGGCCGGCGGCAAGGGGGCGAAGCCCTTGCGGATAGAACCTTCCAGGAGTTCAATCCTAACTTCTGAGGAGAAGCATGGGCCACCGCCACCGAGAGCCCATCGGGGGGGGCGGGAGGGGGCAACCCTGGGCGGTGGCACGCTGGGCGGTGGCACGCCTGAGCGTCGTCGGGTACTGGATGACGCTCAGGCGTGGCACCGCCCAGGGGTCGACCTCCCCCCGATGGGTTGGCGGCGCGCACAAGGGGGTAGGGGGAGGGTTGAAGGCTTCTTAGGAAGAGGCGAACTGCTTCTAAGAAGGCGCCGGCCTTACATCTATAGGCAAGGCCCGCGCCTTCAAAGAAAGAGGGTGCTTCCAAGGAGCCTTCTGCGCGTGGCTGACTGGGTTCTGGTCCATGCTTTTCTTCGGGAACATATGATAGCATGAACGTAACTTTCGGAGGTCCGCACGGAATGCTCGGATCAGCGCTGGGGCCCCCTGACGGCGCCTCCGGCGCCGCCCCTGGCGTGCGGAGCGCGCCAGGGAGGGGGGTACAGCGCCGACCCAAGAAATCAGCGCCACCCCTCCGAAAATTTGCGTTTCTTAGGTGGCGACATCCGAACCTTACCCCACCAACCATCCATTATCCTCAATCGATGGGAGGCGGACAAATGTCAGGATTTCACCACGTGTTCGAGGAATTCCGAACCCTGCCCCTGATCGGCGAGAGTAGGGTTCGGATTTCGCCGCCGATCTGTGCGATTATTCCCAGACCCCCGACGTCGTGATTTTTTTCACCACGCCGACCCCCAGAAGCCTGCACCCCTTCCCAAGACCAATTTCTCGTCCCGAGTCATTTTTTGACGGTCCCGAGGCCCGGCGAGGCCCCCCTGAGGCCGAAAATGGCGAAAAACCTCCCGTCGCGATTCTTGTTCACAACGTGGGTTTTCTTCCCTGCTCCTCCCGTGATGACCTGAGGGTGCGGAGGGTCGCCTCCACCGCGCCGTCGCGGGCGTCCCTCGGGGCACCTGGGGCCGCGGCGTCCAGCTCCTGCTCGGGGGGAACGAAAGGAAGGGATAGCAGAGGGTGGGGCAGAGAATCGGCTCACGTAGCTTTCCCAGCGCCTCCGGGCGCCAGGAGGCGCCCAAGCATCGAGGAATGGGCCCGGCGGCGGGGCCGAAACCAGCTGCATGCAGAAGATTTCGTAGCCCCCCCTTTCCAGGGATGGACAGACCCCCCTTTAGTAAAACGTGGTTTAGTGAAAACGACCTGAGGCCCAAACCTGGCGGGCGCAAGCCTGGAAAAAAACGGCCACGGCGCCCTCTCGAGAACCGAAAACGGACAATTCACTGATCGACGTGTCGCTGTTGGGGGTTCTGTCCACCCCCGACCTTTCCCTGTATATCCCCCCCGTTCGTCCGGCCCGCTCCTGCGCCAGGTCCCGTACGTGCCTCTCCAGCTGCTCCTGCGCCTGCTTGCGGCGCTCCGCCGAGCGGTCCGCCAGGCCGCTCCTCGGGGCACGAAGGAGCCACCAGACCCCCTCCTCGCGGCGTGCACGAAAATCCCGACGGGAGGCTTTGGTCGCCATTTTCCGCCTCCAGGGGCCCTCGCCGGGCCTCGGGGCCGTCAAAAAAACGGCTCGGGACGAGAAAGGGGCCCCCGGGGAAGGGGTCCAGACTTCTGGGGGTCGACGTTGCGAACAAAATCACGACGTCGGGGATCTGGGAACGGCATGGACATAAACTTTTGACGGTCCCCGCGGATTTCTTGGATCTGAACTGGAGCCCCCTCCCTGGGGGTCCCAGCACAGATCCAAGAAATCCGCGTGGACCGCCAAAGTTTATGTTTATGTTGTTTTTTAATTCTTCGAGCTCCGGATCGCGGAGAGCGCATGCCTGTCGTCCATGGCCTGGCTGGAGAGAACAGCGTTCCAGACGTGCACCGTCCTGATCTGTTCAGCACGCGGTCCCCAGAAGTCCCGACACGTTCCCCAAATCCGTTCTTTCACCCCGGGCCCTTTTTTGACGGCCCAAGAACGGGCGGGTAAGGGCCCCCGGAGGCCAAAAAATAAGGAAAGACCTAGATCCTCCCTAAGATCCAACGTCGCGAAAAATTGCCGCGTCGTCAAAAACCACGACGGGAGCCCTAGTCACTAGTCCCCATCTTTCTGCTGCATTTTTCCAGCAGGATCGATCTGTGAGGGTCCCGGGGCCCGAAACCGGGCGAAAACGCCCAAAATGGAAACATGATCGACCCACGAATCCGGAAAGGAATATAGAAATGTAAGGCATGGCAACGTTTCAAAAACACCTGATTGCGCGACGGGGAAATGCAATGCCGAATGTATCGATCGTGATGTACTGTGCTGTGCTACGCCGTGCTGAACTGCGACGTGCCCTGCACCGATAGTGCTCTATGTAGCGATGTGGATCGAGTCCTCCCCAGCATCCGAGTCCTGACCGAACTGAATTGGATCTTAAGCTCGAGCTGCCTGACCAGATGGTAGCTGCCCCAGACCTAGTCGACAGAGGGGACATGCCAGGAGGACGCGCCGCGAAACGTCCCCAGGGACGCGCCAGGCGACGTGCCAGGGGACGTGCCAAGGGGACGCACCGCAGGACGTGCCAAGGGGACGCGCTACCGGAACGTGCCAATGGACGTGCCTCGGGACGTGCCAGGGGACGCGCCGCGCGACGTGCCAGGTGGACTCGCCACGGGACGCGCCAAAGAACATGCCAAGGTGCAATGTTGAGTGTATCGATCTTGATGTACCGTGCCGAGGGCTGTGCTGGGCCGTGCTGAACTGCGATGTGCCATGCCGCGATTGTGCTCATTCTAGCGTTGTGGATCGAGTCCTCGTTGCATCCGACTCCTGACCGAACTGATCTGGATCTAAAGCTCGAGCTGCCTGAGCAGATGGTAGCTGCCCCAGACCTAATCGACAGGGGGACATGCCAGGAGGACGCGCCGCGAAACGTCCCAAGGGACGCGCCAGGCGACGTGCCAGGGGACGTGCCATGGGCACGCACCGCGGGACGTGCCAAGGGGACGCGCTACGGAACGTGCCAATGGACGTGCACCGCGCGACGTGCCAGGTGGACTCGCCACGGGACGCTCCGCGGAACGTGCCAGGCAACATGCCAGGCTGCAATGTTAAGGGTATCGATATTGAAGTACTGTGCCGAGGGCTGTACTGTGCCTGGGCGACCTGGACACGTGAAAACACGCGTTTCGCTCAAGACGTTCTCAGCACATCCTCATGCTAGACATCCGCCTGGGCAACCTGGACACGTGCAAACAAGCGTCTCGATCGAGACTTCCTCGACACATCCTCATGCTAGGCATCCGCCTGGGCGACCTGGACACGTGAAAACAAGCCATCGTTCGAGACATCCTCAACAAATCCTCATGCTAGACATCTGTCTGGGCAACCTGAAGGCGTGAAACCAAGCGTCTCGTTCGAGACATCCTCCAGACCTGGGCTCGTGAAAACAAGCATGTCACTTGAGAGATCCTCTGAATTCAGGTCCCCAGGAGAGGACAACCTATAACACAAAACAAGCGTTTCGCTCGAAACATCCTCAACAAATTCTGAAAACAAAGAAGCGTGTCGTTCGAGATATCCTCAACATGATCGACCCACGAACCCAGAAAGGAACATAGAACTGTAACGCATGGCAACGCTTTCAAAGACACCTCATCGGGTGACGGGCAAATGCAATGCTGAATGTATCGATCCTGATGTACCCTGCCGAGGGCTGTGCTGTGCTACGCCGTGCTGAACTGCGATGTGCCATGCCGCGATTGTGCTCCATAGCGTCGTGGATCGAGTCCTCCTTTGCATCCGAGTCCTGACCGATCTGGATCTTAAGCTCGAGCTGCCTGAACACATAGTAGCTGCCCCAGACCTAATTGACAGGGGGACATGCCAGGAGGACGCGCCGCGAAACGTCCCAAGGGACGCGCCAGGCGACGTGCCAAGGGACGTGCCATGGGGTCGCACCGCGGGACGTGCCAAGGGGACGCGCTACGGAACGTGCCAATGGACGTGCCACGGGACGTACCAGGGGACGCGCCACAAGACGTGCCAGGGGGACTGGCCAAGGGACGCCCCACGCAACGTGCCAAGGAACGTGCCGAATTGCAATGCTGAATGTATCGATCTTGATGTACCGTGCCGAAGTCTGTGCTGTGCTGCGCCGTGCTGAATTGCGATGTGCCACGCCGCGATTGTGCTCTATAGCCTCGTGGATCGAGTCCTCCTTTGCATCCGAGTCCTGACCGAACTGATCTGGATCTTAAGCTCGAGCTGCCTGAGCAGATGGTAGCTGCCCCAGACCTAATTGACAGGGGGACATGCCAGGAGGACGCGCCGCGGAACGTCTCAAGGGACGCGCCAAGCGACGTGCCAGGGGACATGCCATGGGGACGCACCGCGGGACGTGCCAAGGGGACGCGCTACGGAACGTGCTGGGGACAAGCGTTTCGCTCGAGACATCCTATCAAAATTCAAAGAAATCCTAGAAAAACAAGCGAATTAGTCGAGACATCCTCGAAATTCCTGCGCGCGGGACGTGGCACGCGCGAGACATCCTTGGAATTCCTGCGAGCGTGACGTGAAAACAAAATTTCGCATGAGACATCATCTGAATTCTGACCCCCCACGAGGCTCCCGCTCAAGACATCCCCCCCCCACTTTTGCACGTTTGGCTTGAGACATCCTCAACAAATTATGAAAACAAGGGTTTCGCTCGAGACATCCTGCCAAAATCCCCAGAAATCCTGAAAAAAACAAGCGAATTAGTCGAAACATCCTCGAAATTCCTGCGCGCGGGACGCGGCACTAGCGAGACATCCTCGGAATTCCTGCGAGCGGGACGTGAAAACAAGCATTTCGCCTTGAATTCTGGCCCCCCACGAAGCCCCCGCTCGAGACATCCCCCAATTTTGCAAAACCAGCGTTTCGCTCGAGACATCCTCGACAAATTATGAAAACAAGGGTTTCGCTCGAGACACCTTCAACCAATTATTTTAAAAAACAAACGTTTCGCTCGAGACATCCTGCCAAAATCCCCAGAAATCATGGAAAAATGAACGAATTAGTCGAGACATCCTCGAAATTCCTGCGCACGGGACGCGGCACGCGCGAGACATCCTCGGAATTCCTGCGCGCGGGACGCTTTTCCTCGTCGCGGTCGGGGCTCCAGACCTCGTTTTCGTTTCGATGATTCTGCTAAAAATGCCCCGCATCCTTTTTTTCCATAGAGGAAAACGGGGGTCCGCGGACCCCATTATTTATCGAGGGTCCGAGGTGGGGGGTCGACTTTTCTCGAGCGGCGGGCACGCGCGAAACGCATTTTTTTCACGCCGAATTAAAGTTTACCTCGTTTTGATCGAGCGGAAATCCACCGGCCCTCTTCAAGTCAAAACCCTGGGCTTCAGCCCTTTTCGGGAAAAAGAATTTCGCCGGCCCTACGCGACCTCGTCATTGATCGCAAAATCATTTCGCCGGCCCTACAGCCGTCACTAAAAGAGAACCCTGGAACGCTGCATGCCTGCAGGGTGCGCTGGGGCGGACGCAGGACGCCAGGCGACGAGGAGCATCGTTCAACCGATCCCTGCCCCATTGGAGTGGCCATGGCCCTACTGGCCGAGGTGCCCCCCAGATAGGGGTACACGGTGGGGGCATTGGACAAAGAACCCTTGGATAAGGAACCCATAATCTGGAACCGGTGGAACTCAAATTGTGGATCGCCCATGGATATCACCGCCGCCCTAATCCGCCGACCCCTTGGGGTTCATCGGCGTGTGAGATTCGGGAGCGGCCAAGAGGGGGGTGTCAAAGAGGGGGGGGTGCAAATCATGACCGGCGGCATGTGCGCGGCCCAGCGGGGAACACCAGGGACGTAATGAAATAAGAAGAGGCGCCATGAAATCTGGGGAGATATCATGGCCCCCGCCATGATATCCACCCCCCCTAGTCATCACCCCCCTCTTTTCCACCCCCGAGAGATGCTTCCCCCTCCCCAAACCACTCCCCCAGGAGCCCGGTCCGGTGATTTGGAGGAGTGGGGGGGGGCGTCTCCCAGGGCGGCCCCGGGGGGGTACTTTGCTCCAGAAATTCTGCCGGGGGGGCATCGAGGGGCTCGAAACGGGCCACGAGGGCCCAAGACGGTCCAAGAGGGTCCCGAGTCGCTGTAACATCGTCCAGAGACGCCCAAGATGGCCTCCAGAAGGCCCAAGATGCCTCCAAGACGCCCCAGCAGGCTTCGAAGAGGCCTCCAAATAGGGCCCCAGGAGGCCAAAACCGTCCCCGAGGCCTGGCGGCCAAGCTAAGGACCCCAGAGGCCGAAAATAGAACCTCCAGAGCCTGATCGATTTGCGATCGAGCCGGACCGATCTGTGAGGGTACCAGGGCCCGTGACCGGGCGAAGACGCCCAAAGTGGAAAAATTGCAACGCCCAGATCTCAAGGCTGATCTTCTCCAGAGATCCAACCTATTGAAAAACATGATCCACCCACGAACCCAGAAAGGAACATAGAAATGCAACGAATGGCAACGTTTTCAAAGACACCTGATTGGGTGACGGGCAAATGCAATGCTGAGTGTATCGATCTTGATGTACCCTGCCGAAGTCTGTGCTGTACTGCGCCGTGCTGAATTGCGATGTGCCATGCCGCGATTGTGCTCTATAGCGTCGTGGATCGAGTCCTCCTTTGCATCCGAGTCCTGACCGATCTGGATCTTAAGCTCGAGCTGCCTGAGCAGATGGTAGCTGCCCCAGACCTAACTGACAGGGGGACATGCCAGGAGGACGCGCCGCGGAACGTCCCAAGGGACGCGCCAGGCGACGCGCCAGGGGACGTGCCATGGGGTCGCACCGCGGGACGTGCCAAGGGGACGCGCTACGGAACGTGCCAATGGACGTGCCACGGGACTTGCCAGGGGACACGCCACAAGACGTGCCAGGGGGACTGGCCAAGGGACGCGCCAAAGAACGTGCCAAGGTGCAATGTTGAATGTAACGATCTTGATGTACCGTGCCGAGGGACTCGAGTCCTCTTTTGCATCCGAGTCCTGAACGAACTGATATGGATATAAAGTTCGAGCTGCCTGAGCACATAGTAGCTCAAGGGACGCGCCAAGCGACGTGCCAGGGGACGTGCCATGGGGGTCGCACCGCGGGACGTGCCAAGAGGACGCGCTACGGAACGTGCCGGGGACAAGCGTTTCGCTCGAGACATCCTGTCAAGTCCTCATGCTAGACATCCGCCTGAGCGACCTGCACACGTGAAAACAAGCATTTCGCTCAACACATCCTCAACACATTCTCATGCTAGAGATCCGCCTGGGCGAACTGGGCACGTGAAAGCAAGTGGTTCGCTCGAGACATCCTCAACACATCTTCATGTGAGACGTCCGCCTGGGTGACCTGGGCAAGTGAAAACAAGCGTTTCGCTCGATACGTTTTCAACACCTCCTCATTCTAGACATCCGCCTGGGCGACCTGTACACGTGAAAGCAAACGTCTCGCTCCACGAACCCAGAAAGAATATAGAAATGTAAGGCATGGCGGCGTTTCAAAGACACCTGATTGGGAGATGGGCAAATGGAATGCTGAGTATATCGATCTTGATGTACCGTGCCGAGGGCTGTGCTGTGCTGCGCCGTTCTGAATTGCAATGCGCCATGCCGCGATTGTGCTCCAGAGCGTTGTGGATCGAGTCCTCCTTTGCATCCGAGTCCTGACTGAACTGATCTGGATCTTAAGGTCGAGCTGCCTGAACACATAGTAGCTGCCCCAGCGCTAATTGACAGGAGGGCATGCTAATTAGGAGGACGAGCCGCGGAGCGTCCCAAGGGACGCGCCAGGCGACGTGCCAGGGGACGTGCCATGGGGACGCACCGCGGGACGTGCCAAAGGGACGCGCTACGGAACGTGCCAATGAACGTGCCACGGGACGTGCCAGGGGACGCGCCGCGCGACGTGCCAGGGGGACTCGCCACGGGACGCGCCACGGAACGTGCCAAGGAACGTGCCAAGGTGCAATGTTGAGTATATCGATCTTGATGTACCGTGCCGACGGCTGTGCTGTGCTGCGCCGTGCTGAATTGCGATGTGCCATGCCGCGATTGTGCTCTATAGCGTTGTGGATCGAGTCCTCCTTTGCATCCGAGTCCTGACCGAACTGATCTGGATCTTAAGCTCGAGCTGCCTGAGCACACAGTAGCTGCCCCAGAGCTCATTGACAGGGGGGCATGCTAGGAGGACGCGCCGCGGAGCGTTCCAAGGGACGCGCCAGGCGACGTGCCAGGGGACGTGCCATGGGGACGCACCGCGGGACGTGCCAAAGGGACGCGCTACGGAACGTGCCAATGAACGTGCCACGGGACGTGCCAGGGGACGCGCCGCGCGACGTGCCAGGGGGACTCGCCACGGGACGCGCCACGGAACGTGCCAAGGAACGTGCCAAGGTGCAATGTTGAGTATATCGATCTTGATGTACCGTGCCGACGGTTGTGCTGTGCTGCGCCGTGCTGAACTGCGATGTGCCATGCCGCGATTGTGTTCTATAGCGTTGTGGATCGAGTCCTCCTTTGCATCCGAGTCCTGACTGCACTGATCTGGATCTTAAGCTCGAGCTGCCTGAGCACATAGTAGCTGCCCCAGCGCTAATTGACAGGGGGGCATGCTAGGAGGACGCGCCGCGGAACGTCCCAAGGGACGCGCCAAGCGACGTGCCAAGGGACGTGTCATGGGGACGCACCGCGAGACCTGCCAAAGGGACGCGCTACGGAACGTGCCAATGGACGTGCCACGGGACGTGCCAAGGGACGCGCCGCGCGACGTGCCAGGGGGACTCGCCACGGGACGCGCCACGGAACGTGCCAAGTTGCAATGCTGAATGCATCGATCTTGATGTACCGTGCCGACGGCTGTGCTGTGCTGCGCCGTGCTGAACTGCGATGTGCCATGCCGCGATTGTGCTCTATATAACGTTGTGGATCGAGTCCTCCTTTGCATCCGAGTCCTGACCGAACTGATCTGGATCTTAAGCTCGAGCTGCCTGAGCACACAGTAGCTGCCCCAGAGCTCATTGACAGGGGGGACATGCCAGGAGGACGCGCCGCGGAACGTCCCAAGGGACGCGTCAAGCGAAGTGCCAGGGGACGTGCCACGGGGATGCACCGCGGGACGTGCCAAGGGGACGCGCTACGGAACGTGCTAAAGGGACGCGCCGCGGGACGTGCCAGGTGACGCGCCGAGCGACGTGTCAGGGGGATTCGCCACGGAACGCGCCAAAGAACGCGCCAAGGTGCAATGTTGAATGTAACGATCTTGATGTACAAAGCCGACGGCTGTGCTGTGCTGGGCCGTGCTGAACTGCGATGTGCCATGCCGAGATTGTAACGATCTTGATGTACCGTGTCGACGGCTGTGCTGTGCTGCGCCGTGCTGAACTGCGATGTGCCATGCCGCGATTGTGCTCCTTCTAGCGTTGTGGATCGAGTCCTCGTTGCATCCGACTCCTGACCGAACTGATCTGGATCTTAAGCTCGAGCTGCCTGAGCAGATGGTAGCTGCCCCAGAACTAATCGACAGGGGGGCATGCCAGGAGGACGCGCTGCGGAAAGTCCCAAGGCACGCGCCAGGCGACGTGCCAGAGGACGTGTCATGGGGACGCACCGCGGGACGTGCCAAGGGGACGCGCTACGGAACGTGCCAATGGACGTGCCCGCGCAACGTGCCAGGGGGACTCGCCACGGGACGCTCCGCGGAACGTGCCAGGCAACATGCCAGGCTGCAATGCAATGGGTATGGATATTGATGTACTGTGCCGAGGGCTGTGTTGTGCCTGGGCGACCTGGACACGTGAAAACACGCGGTTCGATCAAGACGTTCTCAGCACATCCTCATGCTAGACATCCGCCTGAGCGACCTGAACGCGTGCAAACAAGCGTCTCGATCGAGATTTCCTCGACACATCCTCATGCTAGACATCCGCCTGGGCGGCCTGGACACGTGAAAACAAGCCTCTGGTTCGAGACATCCTCAACAAATCCTCATGCTAGACATCTGTCTGGGCAACCTGGAGGCGTGAAACCACGCGTCTCGCTCGATACATCCTCAAGACATGGGCACGTGAAAACAAGCATTTCACCTGAGAGATCCTCTGAATTCTGGTCCTCAGGAGAGGACAAGATATGACACAAAACAAGCGTTTCGCTCGAGACATCCTCAACAAATTCTGGAAAACCAGCGTTTCGCTCGAGACATCCTCAAAACTAATTCCGCTGGCCTCATTCATACCCGTCATTTATCGCAAAATAATTCCGCCCGCCTCCTTCAAGTCGAAACCGGGGGCAAACAGCTAAAAGAGAACCCTCGGCCCCCGCCCTTTCCGGGAAAACCAGGGCCTCGGATGTCTGGGCCACAGCATGCCTGGTCGGGATGAAGCGCTGGTCCACTGGAGAGGATCGAGGTTGAAAAATCAAGGCCTCGGATTTCTAGGACGATGCATGCTTGCTCGGGATGAAGCGCTGGTCCCCAGGAGTGGGTCGAGGTTGAAAAGTCAAGACGTCAAGATCCGACGTTGGAAACATGATGGACCCACGAACCTGGAAAGGGATATAGAACCGCATGCATGGAAACGTTTTCACGACACCGTATTGGGCGACGGGCACTTCCACGAGACACCCCGCGAAACATTCCACGAGACACGGGCGACCGTTTTCAACGTTTTCCTGGAAACATTCCACGAGATACCCCGCGAAACAGTCCACGAGACACCCCACGAAACATTCCACGACGACAGGCATCCACTCAATCAAGGCGGTGTGGTCGTGCTGGGGAGTGGTCGTGCTGGGGTGTGGTCGTGCTGGGGGGTGGTCGTGCTGGGGGGTGGTCGTGCTGGGGGGGTAGTCGTGCTGGGGGTGGTCGTCCTGGGGCGTGGTCGTGCTGGGGCGTGGTCGTGCTGGGGCGTGGTCGTGCTGGGGTGTGGTCGTGCTGTGGTGAGGTCGTGCTGGGGTGTGGTCGTGCTGGGTGATGGTCTTGCTGGGGTGGGGTCGTGCTGGGGTGGGGTAATGCTGGGGTGTGGTCGTGCTGGGGTTTGGTCGTGCTGGGGTGGGGTCGTGCTGGGGTGGGGTCGTGCTGGGGTGTGGTCGTGCTGGGGTGTGGTCGTGCTGGGGTGTGGTCGTGGAAACAAGCGATTCGCTCGAGACATCCTCAGTAATTCTGCGGAGCAAGCGTTTCGCTCGAGACATCCTCAACACACGAAAGAGTGGCCCGCACCCTGTGATTTATCGATCGGGATTTCAAAAACAAGCGTTTCGCCTGAGACATCCTCAAAATTCAATCCGCCGGCCCACCTCGACCTCGATATTTATCAGGGAAAGAATCCGCCAGCCCACCTCAATTGAGGCACCCGGGACAAGTTTACATACTAAAAGAGAACCCTGGGCCGATGCCCTTTCCGGGAAAAATTGCCACATCGCCGAAAATCAGGACCGAGCCCCGGACTTCACCTCCCTGTGCCAACTTTCGAGCCAGACCGATCTGCGAGGGCCCCAGGGCCCGAAAGAGGTGAAGGCGAAAACGCCCAGCGCGAAAAAGACCAGACCCCCGACGCCGTGATTTTTGTCACCACGTCGACCCCCAGAGGTCTGGACCCCTCCCCCAGGACCGATTTCTCGACCCGAGTCATTGTTTTGTTCGACGGCCCCGAGGGCCGGCGAGGGCGAACGCAGCCCACAAAACCTCCCGCCGTGATATCTGTGCCGCGACGCGCGGGGGCCCGAGAGAGCGGGCGAAAAGAGGCCCGGGGCTCGAGCAGGTGAGGGGCGACAGGCTTTCGGGGGGGCGCCGACGGCCTGCAGGGGCCTGCCGGGGGCGTGCCTCCGGGCGGGCGCCGGAGGGGGGCAGGGGCGGCGCGGCGGCCGGCTGCGCGTCCGGTCCGCCCGCGGCGCTGCGGCGCTCAGGCCATGGGCCCAGCGGCTCTCTTCGGGGCCGTCGGCCGGCCGAGGGGGGCCGGGGGGCCCCTGCGCGCGCGGCCGCGCCGACCCCTCGGCGGCCCGAGCCGAAGGGGGGGCCTGCGGGCCCAAAGCACCAGCGCAGAGCCTTTGGCATCCTCGACCCCCTCGCGCTGCGAAGAGCCCACGACGGCAGGTTTCAAGTTTGTTTCTCGCTGGGCCTCGGGACCGTCAAGAAACGACTCGGGGCGAGAAGGCAGTCCCGGGGAAGGGGTCCAGACCTCTAGAGGTCGACGCTGTGAAAAAACACGACGTCGAGAGACACAGGGTGTGGCGCCAGAAGAAGAGGAGGAGGAGGAGGAGAGGAGGGGGAGGAGGAGGAGGAGGAGGGAGGGAGGAGGAGGAGGAGGAGGAGGAGGAGAGGAGGAGGAGGAGAGGAGGAGGAGGAGGAGGAGGAGGAAGAGAGAGGAGGAGGAGGAGAGGAGGAGGAGGGGGAGGAGGAGGAGGAGGAGGAGGAGGAGGAGGAGGAGGAGGAGGAGGAGGAGGAGGGGGGAGGAGGAGGAGGAGGAGGGGGAGGAGGGAGAGGAGGGGAGGATAGGAGGAGGAGGAGGAGGAGGAGGAGGGGGGAGGAGGGGGAGGAGGAGGAAAGGGAGGAGAAGGGGGAGGGGGAGGGGGTCCAGGGACATCCTCGACATGCCCGCGTCGCGAAAGGATCGCGAGGAGAGGCTTTCCTCCATTTTCGACCTCAGGGGGCCCTTGCCGGGCCCCAGGGCCTTAAAAAATGGCTCGCGATAAAAAGACGCCCTGGGGGAAAGGGTCGGGGCTTCCAAGGACTTCCAGGGACACTCGGTGCGATCGAAATGGTTACGGTAACAAGCAATGATAATCGACGAGAAAGCGTGCATGTAGGGTCGATTGGCATTGAATTAGCGTCGACTGGCGTCGATTAGCGTCGGAGATCCCGGACTCGCACGAGCCAGCAAGATGGTATGCGAGGCTCCCATGAGTTGCCACCGAAGGTACTAAGACCGACAGCAGTTCCTGTCCATTTTGGACCGAATTCGCTGACGGCGTCACCGCGGACAGTGTCCATGTGAGACACAAGGCCGCCTGCCCGACAACGGTCGTCGTCGCTTTTGGACCACAGCTGTTGTTGGGCATCGTACCCACTCTTTGCGCACCCATTTCGGGCGTCCAAAAAGATGCGCAGAACCCTGCCATCCCACGCATTGAAGAACTAGCAGACGGAAGTTGTTTCGCAAACTTCGGCCTCCATAAGCCCTCGCCGGACAGGGAAGCTGTCCAGACCTCAGGGGGCTACTGCTAGAACGCCCAGGATTCGCGTTTGGTCTCGCCATAAAACTTCCAGAACCCTTTCTGGAAGCTCTGCAGGAGCCCTCCGCAAAGCCTCTGGAAGCCCTTCGGGGAGGGGTTTCGGTCGTTTTGAAGGAGAACCAATCCCTACCCTTAGGTCGGGCGTGTCCTCCTACCTGGTGATTTTGGACGAAAAAACAAGTGCCTTAAAAAATCAAAACATGCTCAAAAAATCGTCCCCTGACGATTTTTCACTATTTGGGAATCTTCCTCCTGTAGGGGGGCACGCCCGACTTAACCCTAGCCAACCCTGGGCTTGCTGGACGTCGCCGCCGTCGCCCCGGGGCCTCGGCACGTGCGGGCCCGGGCGGACACGCTCGTGCCGGTGGTGCCTACGCGCTTCTCCGACGAAGACCCCAGCGTGCGCTGCGGCGCCTGCGAGTCGTTCTACAACATGGGGGGAGGGATGCCCAGAGAGGCAACGTCTTGGCAAAAAGCAGAAAAGCGATTTTTCGCTGTGTTGGCCTCTGGGGGCCCTCACTGGGCCCTGGGACCGTCAAAAACCGACTCGGTAGGAAAAACCGGCCCTGGGGAACGGGTCGGGACTTCTGGGGGCCCCGTACTGAAAAATCCGGATATCGCATGTTTGTGCGAGCACTGATTGTTCTCATCTACTCGGCACACTCGTGCATCCTGAAAATGGACTCCTGTAAGACTGCGGTGCGGTGCACATGCGTGGAATGCTTTTTTGTTCCCCGAACAAATGCATCACGGGGCACATGCGCGCGCCGCCGCGCGCGCACGTCGAAACCCTCCACAAATCAGTAGTCGTTCGACAGAGCCAAGACGTGGCCATCCAAAAGACTGACAAAAGTACTTGGTTTGCCAACCGAGCAGTTGCCAGAATCCTGAGCGCGCGCACTCGCTGAGATCCCAAGATTACGGTATGCGTTTGGCCATGCTGTCGAATGAGACGATGCAGGCCACTTGCGCGCGCACATCGAAAACAGTCAAACACCATCGAGGCCCACGAACTCCGTCAGATAATACCATGCGGGCGCATGTCAAAATCAGTCCAAACCATCGGTTTCGTCGCCCTTGCCAGTTTTCTGCACGCCGGTACGTCCTCGTCATCATCATCATCATCATCATCATCATCATCATCATCATCATCATCATCATCAGCAGCAGCAGCAGCAGCAGCATCAGCATCAGCATCAGCATCAGCATCAGCATCAGCATCAGCATCAGCATCATCATCATCATCATCATCATCATCATCATCATCATCATCATCATATCATCATCATCATCATGATTATCATAATCGTCAGCATCACCATCATCATAATCATCGTCATCATCATCATCATCATCATCATCATCATCATCATCATCATCATCATCATCGGCATCATCATCATCATCATCACCATCATCATCATCATCATCATCATCATCATCATCATCATCATCATTATCGTCACCAGCATCGTCATCATCACCATCATCACCATCATCACCACCACCAACAGCACCATCATCATCATCATGATCATCATCATCACTATCGCCAGCGTCATCGCTGCCATCGTCATTAACATCACCATCAGCTTCATCACCATCACTGTCGCCGTCCTCGCATCGTCCTCATCTCTACTGTCGTCGCCATCGGGATCAGCGTCGTCACCACTGTTATCTCCATCGTTATTGGCGTGGCGGTCGCCACCATCGCCACCACATTTTCGCGACCTGCTGGACGGACTTGTCTGCGCTGTTGCGTTCCACGCGCCCGTCACTAGTTGAGATCACGCCATACGATCGTTGCCGACATGTTGCGGGCGAGGTGGGATGTTTGCACGAGCAATGGAGTTGACGACTCCAAGTTCTTCATGATGAATTGCACCGCATAGATTGCACTCTGGAGACGAATACGACGATGACAACCGCCACAACGACGGCGACGACGACGACGACGACAGCGGCTGCGGTGACGACGGCGACGACGACGACGGCGGCGGCAGCGACGGCGATCGCGACACTGTCGGCTGCGACAGCGGCGGCGACGGCGGCGACGACCACGGCGCCCCCGCCCGCCTGGCCCCGCGGACCCAGGCGGCGGCGCCCTCCTCTCGCAGCGGCCGGCCGACGCCTGGCGCGGGCGCCCCGCGCTGCTGCCCTCCGCTCGGCGGCGGCGGCGGACACCGCGACGGCTCCCACCGCGCAGTACTTAGCACTACGCAGTGATGATTTATCATGATAAGACGTCGCTCGCTTTCTCATGCTATGATTTGTGATGATGAAGCCTCAGCGTGGGGGGGGGCGCGGGGGGCGCCGATGGGGGTCGGCGAATCCATCTGCGCTGTTGCTTTCCGCTCCGCTCCGCGGCGGCCACCGCCGCGACGGCGGCGACGACGGTGGCGACGGCGGCGGCGGCGGCGGCCACCGCGGCAGCGACGGCCGCGACGGCCGCGAGGCCTCCGGAGAGGCTCTGCAAGGGGCTCCAGACGAGGCCCCTGCAGAGGTTTCCAGGAGGAGGCCTGCTCAGGAGACCTGCGGGGGCCTCTCGGGGGGAAGTGGGAGGGGGGAAGTAGAAGAGAGGGGGGATGGACAGGGAGGGCGGGAGGAGAGGCCTGGATGCTATAGAGAGGGAGGAGGGAAGGGAGAGAGAGAGAGAGAGAGAGAGAGAGAGAGAGAGAGAGAGAGAGGGGAGGGAGAGGGAGCGGGAAGAGGGGGGACAGGGAGATGGAGGGAGAGGATGAGCGATCGTGGTTCGATGTATTCCCCCCTGAGCCTGTCCCCCATTGTCGTCGTCGTCGCTGTCAGCGCCTTCATGATCATCACCGTCATCGCAGGCGTCGTCAACGTTTTCACCATCACCACCGCGGTCAGCACCAACCATGAAATAGTACCCGCCAAACGCCGCAGGATCATCATCTGTACAACGGTCATCTCATCCTTTCCCTCTCCTCAATCCCTCTTACCCCATCTCCCTCCTCCTGGACATTTCCAAGACCCCACCAGCTCCAGTCTTTCTTCGCCTGTTTCCTCCTCCTCCTCCTCCCTGCCCACCCCTCTTCCTGCGCTCGTACCGCGGCGGACGGCTCCCTCATCCACTGCTACTACTACTGCAATTGCGGGGCGGGCCTTGCCCGCGGCGTAGAAGGTCATGAACGGCAACGTCAGGCGGAGGAGAAGGGGAGGGCACAGCAGCGGCAGACGCGGGAGCCTCGGGGGAGGGACGGACAGGAGCGGGGGGAGAGCCAACACGATGGGCCTCCTGAGAACTGGACACGTGGGCGCCCCATGAGCGGAACACTGACGCTCGGAGCTGGGGGAGTACCGCAGTCACGTCGCCGACCCAGAGGGGAGGCTGATAGTTCCGAGCCAAATTGTACAGGTAAAATGAGGCAACTAGATACACGAAATTGGAGGGGGAAGGGGGGGGGAAGCTCAGCCCAAGACGAGAGAGGATGTCTTCGGGGGGCGGGTGGCTAGTTAATTTCCCTACCGTTGGAATTACGACAGGACACATTAAATAATGAGCCTGGCAGTCACTACTGGCACATCCGAACACGCAACTTTTCTGCTTCTGCTGGAACCTAGAATCTGTAGTCCAGCCGCCAGCAAGAGTCTTGATTATGGCCATGCGCCATGGCGACGGTGCGGCACAGACCGCTGCTTGCACATCTTGCCACCGAATGCGCTGGATCGCAGCGAGCTCGAGCTGTGGAAGGAGGTGGGAAAGGCGGCAGGCGAAGGTCGAGGCGAGGTCAGAGGGGAAA